TTTTTTTTTTTTTTTTTTCAAAAACAAACTCCGCTTGTTTTAAAGACAGAAATTTCAGTCATTTTTACCTTCTCGTCGTCCAGAAAACGTTGGATTAAAAAAAAGAACATTGGAGGATTTGCAGTTTTATCAACCTGGACAATAAATTCAGGAGGTACCCTTAATTCAGCTTCAGCACCCAAAATCATCTCTCTTGGAATCCATCCATCAATATTCATAGTGTCTAACCAAGACGATATTATCTGTAATTACTGAAATGTTAAAAGAACAACGAGTAAACTGTTTATAAAACTCAATTTACCCAACCCTTTTCACTCTTCGTACTTTAGTTCACGGCAAATTATTTAAAACTAAACATTTCAATTTGAAAATGAAAAACAAAATGACTGAGCAATGTCAGCAAAAAGTCTGAAAAACAGTCAACCTTTAGTGATAATTCAGGGTCGAATTTTCTAAATACCAAATGGTGAAAACCCTCATCCCACAAAAAGCCACGTGGAAAAGTGGAACGACAAGGACAGGCAGATAAAAGCTCTTGAGGACCGTAAAAAATTTCTTCGGAAGAGTGCTGGCTTTTTACACGATTATATCCATAATTGTAACCAATACTCCCCAACATATTAGAAAGCGCTGTGCGGCCTAAGTTCTGATGCAGCTGAGAATAACCCTTAAAAAGTAAAACATGAAAAACCCAAACAGCAGATGTTAAAACTCACAATTAACAGAAGTGACACTAAGAAAAGGCCTGATCTCTACTTCTGAAGTTAGACAAGGAAATAGTAAAATGATACTAGCCTTCTTTTTTAGTTGATATACTTCTTCAAAATGTCGATCAAAACCACGAACACGTTCTTGCAGAGCGTTCTCAAAGTGTTTTCCTAAAAAGAAAGTAACTTCAGCACCACTATGCTGCATACTACGGAAAGAACTGACAATCCCGTAATTTCAGCATGAAAGAGGATAAGCAAGCGATAAAAAATTATAAACTGCGAACCTTTTAAAGCCTCACGGTTTTCAGATGAATAAGTTATCTCAATAGAAGCATTCCCACGTACGTTGAATTGTAGAATAATCAAATTAAAAGTCTGATCAATGAGCTCATTCAAATTTTTCAATAAACGGAGCACATTGTCCTGGTCTATGACCGTATTTTTGAAGGCAGTATTCTGTAAGTGTTTTTAAATAAAGACGAAGAAAAAATAGCCAAAATTAACAATAAAACTTGATCAAACCCCTCAATTACACTTACAGGCAGAAAAAGACTGGCACTCCTATGCCATTCTAAAGAAATGACGTCATCGCTAAGAAGTAAATAAAAAACGGCTTGAAAGTGTAAGAATTAAAGAACCTTACAACCACTTTGCTAGCATCAGGAAATGGTAATTCATTAAGAGCGATAAAACTCTGAGACTCTATACCAACATCTGACCAAAATGCTAACGTAAAGTGACTAGAAATAGGAGAAGAACCAGAAACTGAAGTCAAAATACCATTATCATAATTTGCCGAAAGCTGTGAAACGGAATCCTAAAACAGAAAAAATCAATTAACTAGGCACAAGCGACTTTCAAGAAAGATGACTGCCGTTCATTTCGTATTGCCTACTCGTCATTAAAAAATTTGGGAGTTAAAGTGAAGAAAAAAACTAAACAACGAAACCTGTAGCATAAAGTAAAACAGAAACGCATGATTGCTCTCAATGCTTGAAACTTTGTTGATCCGTGACGTCCATGAATTTCCTTCATTGATCCAGGCAGTCGTAATTGTAGCAAATTTATCTTTGATTACCTGCCTTCCAAAACTCCGTCCGTCAGCTTCTGTGTATGCGTAACTTTTAATACCATTGTCCTGAAAAAACGAAAAGACACTTCATCTAATTTTATCATTTCTAATTACTGGAACTCCATTCGCATAAACAAAAAACAAAGATTTTTTAACTCCACTGAAATTTCCTCTACCGTTAATTCCTTTTCTCGAAAAACGTTAGAAAAAAATTTAAAAAGGTTGGGAAAACAATGAGTTTCAAGTGGGTACACCTTTTCGCACCAATGCCGAACATCATTCAGCGTTAGTTGTGCTCCTTTCTGCTTATACCAAATCATACCAAATAAAGGCGACGCCGGATGATGAGCTCTTAAACCGAAATAAACATGCGATCGATAAGATCCCCATACCTTCTAAATAAAATAGGAAGTAAGACATCGACTAAAAGATGACCCAACGAAAAAAAGATGCTTCAGTCCTCGGCACTATCCAACAGGCGACAACAGTAACAATAACCAAACAACGAACTCACCCGATCGTAACTGGGATTCAATGGTGGCAAGTAGGACTTTTTAGCAATGCGATATGGTAAATAGATATTTTTGTAGTAATAGAAAGATACTGCAACTACGGCTAAACTGATGACAATAAACAGCCGTTTCGGGCCGAACCATGAATTAACACTGCTGGAGTAAACCTTGGTGGCTGGTTCAAAATCTGTTTCTTGACTCGCAGTTGTTTTCCGCTTTTTAACACCCATCTTACGCAACCTGCATTTTATTCAACAGCCTTATTTTACCTGTTAAATAGCTTCAATAGCTGCATGCAGACGGTCATGTTAACAATAATGTTAATGACAATGCCTACATGTTACAGTACGTATGCGAAATGAACGATCATTGTCAAGAATGCTACAAGGATGGTAATACGGCTCAAACGTTTTTTTACATAACAACAGGTTGAAAAACTCTTCTTCTAAAAATACGGTTACAGTAGATAGTTTGGAAACAAAAAAAAATTTGAAATCTATCGTCACTTATCTGGTTTCAATTCTGCCTTTTTTGGGCATTAAACAAAAAGTGAACATGAAGAACATTTCCAACTAAACTTTAAATTTTTTCTATCGCCACAACATAATATCAAACTGCATTGACCGACACTGATGGAAATCAGCCAAAAAAAAAAGTTTTAATATACGGAGAACAATATACTACGACGACATCACTACAGACTGGGTAAATTCTCATAGAATATCCACATTGTAGGAATGATAGATACAACTGCAGACAGACGAACACTACAATACCCACAGCAAATACAACACTACAGAACAACAGACATATCCGCAGACATACAAACACAGGTGAAACAAAAACTATAAAGGCTAATCGCGAATTAGCAGCACACAAAAAAGAAGCACTATTTTTAGATTGATGTTTAATTTTAGACTTTAGCGATCAAAATCTCCCGCATCAGACAGGCAGCAGCAGCATTGCCACTGCCACCACTGCTGCCACCATCAACTGTATCTCAATGTCTGTCTTTCTCTTTCTTTCTGTATTTTATTTATGGATTCATCAGATTATTTTGAGTCAACTTTTTTGAACTTATTAGCTGCCTATCTAAGCCAATCTGCTTAGCACTACCTACACATTTATATGAATTTTTTACTTATTTATTTATATGTATATTTATTTATTATTCATTAGTTATTATTTACTTGTTTATTTATTTATTTATCCATTTATTTATTTACTTATTTATATATTCATTTATTTACTTGCTTACTTACTTATTTATGTCAACATATATATGTACATATTTTTGTTCGGTATAGTTGATAATGACGTCAAAACTCAGTGCAGTCAGTGTCAACAAAATTTATTTAGTTCTTTTCTTTCATCCGCTCTTTTCGCTTCTTTTTAGCTTGGTTTTCTTCCTTTGTATATATATA